GGCAATTTAACCTTTAAGGAAAAAAAAAAAAAAAAAACTGTACCTACAAGGTATGTGCATTATTTTATTAATGTTTTTTAACCCAAACCTGTTCATGTTTAACACGATGTGGCTTCTAAGTCAACAGAACCGTGGGATACATGATTCACACGCTCACATCACAGCACAGATTTGACTCTGCTTCGTCTTTGCGGATTTCCTCTATAGTCTATGAGAATTGAGCACAGAGAGAAAAAGGAGCAATCTGGCAACAGCGCCATGCTCGGGGAGAAAAAATCCTTGCGGTTTGTGCTATTGGTCCACTGAGAAACAAAAACAACCAGAGAGAAGAAAAACTATGCGCCCAAGGTGTAAACTGTAGTTATAGTGTCCCCAATAAAAAAGAAAATAGGAGGCACAATCCAAAGTGCTTTCACACACACACACACACACACACACACACACACACACATTAAAAACGAGATTCTAATTTGTTGGGAATTCTTCCAACAAAAGGAATCACTCTATGTTGTTAATACTAATTTTACTTTTTTTCTTTTTAAGCCAATACTGATGCTAGAAAGGTTTTTCATTCTCAACCTTGTAATGTACTGCAGAGCCTATTCCATTGGGGAAAAAATGCATTGCTTTAAAGCCTTGATCCAGATTAAAGTAACAGAGCTCATTTTAAAAAAAGTATATTGGTGATCACTGTTTCCCTTAAAATATGTTTCAAGAAATGCAGAGGAAATCATAGAATTTAAAATGAAAATAAAAAGTGCTCTCAGGGGATCTGAGAAAACAGCACCAAATATATTATTTAAAAAATTAAATATTATTTACAAAAGTATATTTTACAAGCAACTGTTTCTTTTCTATATATCCACTCGAAAATCTCTTTATAAAGGGACATCTCTTTTGCACACACTGATCCACCTGTAAAAATGTACTCTATCCTACCTACGTGATCTTACTGTCATAGGAGGTGGGGCAGTACTCAGTCAGGCCCAGCTGACAACCTGTGGGCATCAAGTTTGGCTGTATTTGGTTCATGTCAAATCAACCCATCAGTAGCCTGAGACTATATCCTGGGGGTCTGTGTATACTCCAGGGGGGGCCAAGGCTGTACAACCTTCAGTGGTGGCACAGGGGAGATGGAACTACAGAGTCTGCCGGCTGGACTTCAGTTCAAAATGAAGGCAGCTGCTGGCTGAGGTATACAACTCCATGCCTTTCCCTTTCTTACATCTCCCTATCTCTTCCCTACTCCCTACCCAAGCTTCATCAACAAACTCCAATTCCCTGAACCTACCAAGGGTGAACGGATGAGGTCTTTGGTTATGCTCTGAGTCAATAATTTGGTGAGAAAATTAAAAGATGATTCGTTTGAGGCCATGAGTTGATACATCTCCATCGCTCAGCTATGGCCTCTCCCATACTGCTAAATGTCAGATAGACAAGCCATGGATGGCGCTAACATTATAAGAAGCACTTTCGGTTTCATCGACACAAAGGGAAAACTAATAATGAGTTGTTGTTGTTTCCCCTCTAGTTATGGGAAAACCAATACTCTATTCAACTCTCTCATACCAGGTATGGTACTATGCACCCACTGGATGCCCAATGGATAATGGATAAAAACTAAAACCAGGGTCTGACTGGAGCCTACTCAGTGCACACAACAGTCAAAGACCCCATCTCAAAGAACAGTGGTATACTGGTCTCCTCCTCTGTCCTCTGAAAATTCCAGGTTTTCCCATGTCTGGTTTCTATGTCACCACATTCTATTTTTTAGTTTTAAAGATGAATGTCAACCCATATTTGCTCCCCATCCCCCATTTTCTTCTTATGGATAGGACTTAGCATTAGCCAGGATATTTCCTAAGCAAAAAATCTATTCAAAATTCATAAATAAAAGTCCCTTCCTTCAGGAGGAATAGAGAGGGGAAATCATTACTTTTTGTTCTGGCAAGCCAGTTTAGGAATGTGAAAGTTGAAAAATGTTTTTTTATTGAGAATTTGGGCCTAGGAGCCAGAGGAACTGTTTTTCCTGAGAGCAGAAATTAAATATTTCTGAACTTCAGTATGCCCTGCAGTAAAATGGGGGGAAACAATGTTCTTGATCTCCCAGGGCTACTATAGCATCGGAAATATTTGGACAAAAAGGCTTGGGGAACAAAATTTGACTTCTAAGAATCCTTTCATCATACAGAGGCAATCCACTGCTAAACTAGAGCTACCCTGCTTCCCTGTAGTCCTGCCACTCACCACTGGTAGGGCAGGACCATGCCCATCTCAGGTCCCCCCTTTCTGCAATCAGCACATGGAGACAAAAAAGGACACTTCTACCATGGACTCGCTCCCCATAACAATTTGGTTCTGCTACATTCTGAAAATGTCCTGGGTTGGCTGCTTTTCATTTTGGTTAACCAATTTTATAGATTCTTACTTCTATGAACTCTTCTGTGAGACTTTAGGGTGAGTTTTCCTATAGATCAGTGTACTTAGAGAATGAGATGCTGAGAATCACCTAATGCACACACATAGCTTAACAGCAATATTTTTAGTCTAGGAAATGAAGTGAACTCCATTAAGGGAGTTTTGATCATGCACCGTGTACTGGCTGAATTGCTCTAGGGTAGACTTCACAGTGTTAATTAAATGTAACAAACTCCTCTTCTTTTCATGAGCCTTACAAACAGCTGTTCCGTACTTCCTGACATAATGAAGTTTGGTGCAGAGGTGCTGGGCCAGGGGTAATAATGGAATCTGTAACCTGCCCCATTGCTGGACCATGCTGACAGGATTTCCCTCCATACAAGACATTCGGGTCCTAGGAGAACAACTAGGGGCATGAGGAATCTACCAGCCAGATTATCACTAAACTCAAAGGCCTTGGGCCTTCATTTCCCACAGTCCACCATGGCAGAACTGGGGGAAAAAATCGAAAACTCTTAAGAACAAAGAATTGCTGATCCCACTGAAGCCACTGCATATCTGAAGAGAAAAGAGGCACCTAACCTATACTGGTTCAAATCTAAGCAACTCCTGGCACTATTTCTACTCAATCCCCACCCTTCGCCGTATTTCTCTTATTAAGGGTCAGAAAGAAAGACAGAATTGCTAACTGGTTCTACTGTTTATTTTTCTGGCTCAATAGCTGAGTCATTTCTTCATGAACTCTCCCTATGTTCCCTGCTCTTCTCAATCCTTGATTTTACTTGGTTGCTGACTAAAGCCTTTGGAATATCTGGATCTTGCATCTACTGCAAATGGCAGGCTCTTCTCCCCTCACCTACGGGTGCTAAAGAGGCAATGAAGATGATACCCAGAGGCCAAGTGAGGCACCAGAGTTACCAAAACCCACCCAGGCTTTCCCGAGACACTCAATGCTTCTGGGACACTCTTCAACTCAATCTAAGACAATCAGGCCCTTGCCTCACCAGCTTGAATTTGGGCCACTTCTTGTGCTCAGTTGCTAACCTGGCACAACTGGTGTCAGGAACAGATACTTCTCATTAGAGAGAATTCAGTCATGAGGTATTTTTTTTTCTTTGTCCTTTTAGACAACTCAATTATTTCAAGCCTAAGTTACCACGTCTCCAGGAGCAGTGCAATGTAATTCCTAACTCCACCCTCCCACCCCCTGCCTACCCCCAAGTCCTGAAGGGTTCCCTTTTCCCTCTTCCTCACACCCCTATGCCACTGCTCTCCAGACAAGAAGCCATCAGGCAGCTCGTGGATGGCCCCTGGGGCCCTTATCAAGGTGGGCTGCCGCCATGCGGTCAAGGATCTGTTCCTTTTGTTGTTTTGTTTTCAGCCAACACTAGAACAGAGAGAGAAGCCAGGATCAACTCACAAACAGATACAAAGCAAAGAGACAGAGAGACAGTAATTTAGAGGCCAGTCACCAGAAAGATGGCGTCAGGGTGGGAGGATGCCCCAGATGGCAAGGCCCCTACATGGATGGAACCAAGTGTTCAGTCACTCTCTCACGCTTGGGTAGAATGTTCAGTTGGATGGCGTTCACGTGGACACTGGGTTGGGTCAATGCTGTTCAATCAGTCCCAGCCATTGTCTTTGATCATGTGTGCTAATTCAATGATGTATTTGCCTTCTTTATATTTCTGGCTGCTTTCAAAAGCATGTTCCTAGGAAACACAGAAGAAGAGAAAAGACACTGCATGACAACTGGGTAGCAGGGAGCCAGAGACGTGACTGATGACAGGCGACAGGACCACTAAGGTCTGGGCCCATCCTCACCCAAATTCACTGAGAGAATTCCCACCACTCAAGCCCTTCACTAATGGAGGAACTGAGGCAATACCAGGGCTTTCTCAACATTACAATGCATGTCTTCAGGATCGTTGTTCACTTAATCTTGGACTCAAATGGCACCATCTCAATGAAGGCTTTACTAACTGCTCTACTTAAAATCCCAGCATCCATCCTAGCACTCCTTCTTCTCCTTATCCACCCCTCATTTTTCTCTATAGTACTTACCACTTTGAACATACATTAGAATTCACATTTCTATTTTGTTGTCTGTCTTCAATGACTACAATATAAACCACATGGAAAGCAGGTATTTTCATGTTTTGTTCATTGTAGTATCCTTAGAAGACTACATGGCAAGAGATCTTCAGTAAATACTGCATGAATGAGTTATTTACATACATACACATATACAAAGTGGTCTTCAAAAAGTTCATGAAAATGCATGCTATGAAAAATGATTTCAAGATTTCTGCACCAAAATAAAGTTATACTATAATTTCATTTTTCTTGAACCCTTTGAAGTCCCCTTGTATGTGTATGTAGATGTCTCAGGTGCCCCTTTCTGCAGTCAGTGCACTGAGACACAAAAGGCACTGCTACCATGGACTCACTCCCTAAAAAAATTAGGTTCTGCTGCAAGTGCAATTCAGAAAATGTCTTGGGCCAGCTGCTTTTAATCTTGATTAACTAGTTTTACAGACTCTATCTCCCTGAACTCACTCTTTTTTGAGACTTGAAGGTGTTTTCCTATAGGATCAACCTACTTAGAGAATGAGATGCTATATCTATATAGCATATTTATGCATAAACATATATACATGTATAAGTATATATATAATCTTAGAGGACCATTGATTTCTATGCTAATTGAAGTCTGCTCTGTGGATATAACCATATGTTTTGTTTCAACTTGTTTCTAGAAATACAAGAAAGTCTGCTTATAACTTTTTAAGATAATTATTTATTCATTTATTATTATTATTCAATTTGACCAGAGAGAGAGACACACACAGAGAGAGAAAGAGAGAGAGAGGGAGAGGGAGAGTGAGAAAGCGAGCCTCCAGGTCCAGGAATCGAACCATAGTCAGCCATGTGGGAGTCCAGCACCTTAACCACACCACTTGCCAGCTCCTTGCTTATAATTTTTAACTATACTTGTTAGATTTGAAGAGACACTTAGAAAGAGAAACAAAGTATTATAAAACCAAACAAGTCTCCTTTTTCTTTCATTTTTCTTGCTGTTTCAGTGTCAGAAATGTTAGATCTACCTTCCTTGCCTTTCTCCAGAGAGACAGGAAGGATATAAACTTCTTACTGGAAAACCTGGCAGCTCTTAGCGCCCCCCCCTCCCCCCCGCCAACTGCCGGGCCTCCAGAGGGAAAACTCGATACCAACCCCCTGGCAGATTACTTGTTGAATCTTACAGCACTCTGGGCTCTCCCAGCTAATGAGCCCCACAGAAAGGAGCCCTGTGGAGGTGTAGGACAGAGGGCTGTTTTATGCACAGAGATAGACAGATGAAAAAGAACGTCTTGGTGTCTGAGACACACTGGTCGCCGGAGGGTATCATTATGTGTCTAAGCTTGACGTGCAGAAGCAGTGGACATCAGCTCTTCCTCCGGAGCCCCTCGAATTAGTGAGGAACTGAATCCTACAGTCAGTAGGTTCTGGGCAGCATTCATATGAACTGTACCTTCTGTTCTAGAGCTCAGGGGCTTTGGGTTTCAGAACAAAGATTCAGACTTCGATCTCTTGTTGAGACAGAAATCATCCCATAAAGTACAGAAGAGCTAGGGAAAGGAGAGAGGAATCGAGAGCGAACAGAGAATGTGCAAACACACCACACATATCTGAGAGCTGTGGGATCAGCAGCAATTTTCCTGACACTTCATTATTTCCTGGCTCTAAGTGTGTGTGTTTGTGTATGTGTACACAACAGAGGAATGTGGTTTGGAAATAAGGTCTATTGTTCCATAGTATGTGTTCAGGGTTGTGGGGAGAAAAGCAAAATTAAGAGAAAGTTTTCTTACTAAGCAAAAAAAAAAAAAAAGAAAAAAGAAAAGAAAAGAAAAGAAAGAAAAAAAAAAGAAAAAGAAAAAAATTCAACAGGCCCTGAGCCACACAAGCACTTGCAAAATGTTGGAACTGGACCGCAGTGGAAAGGGCACTAGGATTGGAATCTATGGAAACACCCAGTGGTCCTGCTTTTCTTCCCAGAATCAAAAGCCTCACTAAACCACCCTACTCTCTCTTCAACTCCTTAGAACATTGGGCTACTTCACAGGATTACTGTGATGGTCAGGGGAAATAATGAAAGAATAACGCACTGCTCTAAGCACATTAAGAGGTGATCAGTAGGTATTCTTTTTGTCTCTAATTTAACACTTCCCCCGTGGAGTAAGATGCCCATGAGGCTAGAAAATAGAGACAAGGGCATAACCGTTCTATTAAATTTGCTGTTTTAATTGCCAGAGGGCATGTGTCCTTAGGGGAGACGAGGAGCAGGGGATAATCACCAGTGGGGTGTGGACAAGCTGCAATCCCCTTTCCTCCATTTCTCTATCCCGTTGAGATTTCAGGCACAACACACATGTGCCCAGTGTTATTCAAGCTGCGCTGGGATTCAAACCACTGTCAGTTATGTGGGATCCATGCTCCCTTAACCACTAGGCTACGAGGCTGGCCTGGGCAGAACATTTCTGGGCAATCAAAACCAGAACTGGGGGCAAGCAGGTGGTGTAGTGGTTAAGATGCTAAACTCCCACATGCCTGACTATGGTTCAAACTCCGGACCTGGGTGGCTTGAAAATCACACTGAGTGCGTGTGTGTGCATGCCCAAAATCCCAGGAGGAGAATGGAGAAGGGATTGCGGTGTGGCCATCCTCCACTGGGGTGATTTTTCACTTTACCTCTTGCTGTCTCTCTCCGGTGAGCGTATGCACCCTAAGGCAAAAACCTAAAAACAAAAACAGAATAGAACTGGGGGCTGAATGATGGTGCAGAGGTAAAAACACACTGTTCTCTACAAGGCTGACCCACACAAGAAGGTTCTAGGGTTTGTATCTAGAGACTTCCCTGAGTTCACCAGGCTTTTGCAGGTCTATGATCAGGACCGGGCTGAAGCTGGGGGGAGGATTGTAGTGTCTGAGCCTGTTGGGGATACTGTCTCTCAAGTTCATTGAGGGCACCTGGGACCATATAGAGAAGACCAGCAACACAAGCAACACCCAAGCCAACCATAGGAAGCTGTGGCTAAGCCATCTTGGCATCACAAAACACACTGTTTAGGCTTTTTCTTTCTAATCTGATTATTAGATTAGATTAGAAAGAAAAAGTTCATGAGAGAAGGACCAGCAGTAAGCGTAATGGCTATGTCGCTGGACTCCCACGTAGTCGACCGCGGTTCGAGTGGACCCAGAGGCTTAAACTCACGCCGGGCGTCTGTGCGTGCGTGCCCAAGATCCCGAGAGGAGAATGGAGGAGAAGGGATTGCAGCATGGCCATCCCCCTTGGTGGGTGATTTCTCGCTTTCTGTCTCTCTGTCTCTCTCTGTCTTTCTGGCAAGCACACGTGCCCTATAGCAAAAATCTTTCAAAAAAAAAGTTCATGAGAGATATAAATATAAATAATTTATATTTGTGTTTATTTCCTATAAATATAAATAGTTCATGAGAGATATGAAAAATGGACTCTGGGAGGGACCAGCAGCTGGCGTAATGGCTATGTCACTGGACTCCCACGTAGTCGACCGTGGTTCGCATCCCAGACCCGGTGCCTTAAACTCACACCGGGCACGTGTGTGTGCGTGCCCAAGATCCCGAGAGGAGAATGGAGGAGAAGGGATTGCGGCATGGCCATCCCCTCTGGGGGGGGGGGTGATTTCTCGCTTTCTGTCTCTCTGTTTCTCTCTGTCTGGCGAGCGCACGTGCCCTATAGCAAAAACCTCTCAAAAAAAAGAAATGGACTCCGGGGGCCAGCAGTTGGTGTGGTGGTTAAGGCCCTGGAAGTCCCACATGGCTGACTATAGTTCAAGTCCCAGACCTTGCAGCTTGCTTTCTCACTCTCCCTCTCCCTCTTTCTCTGGCAAAACTCATGTGAAAAATAAATAAATAAATAAATTAATTAATTAATTAATTAATTCTTAAAAATGAAAGAACTACTGACTATAATGGAATCTGAATGCAGTGCTGCTAAGCTCCACTGTAGACGCCACCTAAGGCAGTCTTTTTTATTTTTTTCAAAACAATGTATAAATCTTCAAATTTTATTTAAATGGAGTCATATTTTCTATATGACATCTATTGTTGGCATTGTTTTATTTTTATAAATTTCCTCCCTCCCAATTAGACTTTTTTACATCAGTATCAGATTCACAGCAAAACTGGGCAGAAAGCACAGAGATTTTTCATGTACTCCTGACACACACTAAGACTCCCTCACTACCAAATTCTGCACCAAAGTGGTACATCTGTTACGGGTGATGAACCGGGACACTTCATGAGCGCCCTGCAGCAGCTCTATTTCTTCGGGCTCCTTCCAAAGCCAGTGGCAGGTCAGGAGCCACATGACAGGTGGGGGAATTCAAGACATTTTACATGGAATAACAAATTGCCCTCACAGGGACAAGAAGACTGATTTTTTAATATACTCATGATGACAGAGAAGGCAAAAAAAATTTTTTTCTAATGCCCATCTACACATGTAGGCCGAGAAAGATCTGCCAATATCAACAGTGACAGTATAAGTTTATTTTCACTGAACATATATGCTGGGTGATAAACTAAATATTTTACAGGCATTATCTGACTCTCTAAGTATGAGGAAACAAAGGCATGGAAAGTAAGCAGCTTGGCTGAAGACCTACTGACAAGTGAAAGAATCCAGATTTGAACCTGACTTTAGCTGCCTACATGGCACTTCACCACTCACCAGAGGGACAATGGGGGCTGTGTCTACAGTGGCATAGTAACCAGTGTTAAAGCAGCGGATACCCACCCTTCCCACCTCTCACCGTGGCAAAGGACTGCTCATTCTTCCTAGGCCCCAAAGGGGCCCTAAAGTGTTTTGGTGAGTTAAACAATGAGAGAATGAGTCTGTCTGGGACATTGCAGCCCTCACTTTATCTGACACTGGATATTAATTAAGACAATGTCTGACAACACCTAAAACATGGTCTATGACCTAGAAGTTCTAGGAACCTTTATTGGAGCATCAACGTATGGCAGTTCTAAAGCAGGGGCTCTGGTCAGACCACTACATGGAGTCCCATCTTGGTTTAGTATTATATGACTAGGTAACTTTGGACATGCTTCCAACCTCCTGAAGCCTCAGGATCCCAATCCATAAAACAGGGATGAAAATAGCGCCTAATCTCTTGGGATGATTTGAAGAGTAAATAAAATAATGTATATACCTGCATGTAGTTGGCTGCCAGGAAATTTCATGTGCTATTGCTATTGTCTACTCACCTTAAAAGCGTGTGTGAGTGTGAGTGCATACGTGTGTGTGTTTCGGGGGGGTGTGAAGTAATGAACAGGGAGAGGGGAGTGTCAGGACAGATGACACACCAGCGACTGCTCTCTGAGCTCAGTTTCCTGTCCAGGTCTAACATAATCCACAGACCATAGAAGCGAGAAGAAAGCATTCTTCTGACATGAGGCTACTCCTCTAGTAACCAGACTCCTCTTTACTTACGTATTTCCAGCCCAGAGTGGTTTTGCAGTTTTCACAGTAAATGTCTGCGACTGCATGCAGTCCTGTTAGCAACACTCGCTCTTCTGCAGGCCCGCAGCCCACGTTCACTCTATGTCGAGGGACAAAAAGAGCAGGCAGTTAGTCACATGCATATCATCAGCTGCTCAAGCTGAGCCTCCAGCAAAAATTAACTGGGAAGGCTGCCCCAAGGGAAGCCCACACTGAGAAGAGGAGGGTCTAAAAGTGAAATCAGTAACAATCCCCAAAAGGTAGCCATGTGAAAATAGCTCAGTCAGAATGAATTTCACATCTACAAGTTCTCATTCAGTGAGTCCATTAAAATAGTCTTTATGATTGTGACTTTGCTTAGAAATTAAACTTTTCTAACAGATGCTTTTAATCTTGTGATTTAAGGGGACATACTGAAAACTGCACTGTGTGGTCCACAGCTGTTAGCATAGGTCCTCAAAAGCTTAGTGAGGATAGATAAAGCTGAAGGTATCAAACGTGACGGCACGGTCTCGTTCTTATCACAGGATGAGTGAGCCCAGAATATCTTACATGCTTTACTCCCTCACAGAGCACCTCTCTCAAGCTGAACACACTAGATTTCCATTTTAATATTTCATCTGGCTTGTGTGATCTTCACCTGCCTTCAGGGAAAAGCTTATGAAACCATGTGCCTGGGAGGACGGAGGGCTGTGCATACTCTGTGACTGGAGTAGGTATGGAGGCGATTCACTAACTGGGCCTTCACCCCTCCTCAGGCCCTTCAGTAGATGGTGTCTTCTGCTCGCCCTTGTTCTCTTCCCCAGCGATGTGTCAGATCTGGTTATGAGACTTCCATGTTGAGGCTCTCTCAGAAGCTCTTCTGTTTCTTCCCTATGAAACTATAGACCTCTGATGGAGTGTAATGAATATATCATCTTCGGCCAGAGATGCTGCCCAAACATTTCCCCCAAGGTAACTGACTATACCGACAGGGGAGAGAATGTTCCATGGGATTTTTATTGTGACAGAGAAGGCAGCGTCCATGATTTATATCATCAAGGGTTGCTTTTCCCCATTCCTGAAAATCTGCCCCAGACAATAGATGTACCATTCAGAGACACTCACACTGAGTTAAAGAGGTATGCTCGTCCTTGACTTCCTTGGAACGACTGAAATGCAAGAAAACAGATCAATAATTAGATACCCGGTTTACCCGTCCATTTGGGAAACCAACCCCAAATCACGACAAGCATGACCTTCTAGGATTGACACAACAGCGAGCACTGAGCCAGCTAACCGTCCAGCTGGCAGATGGCATGGGGGATGGCGTGGGGAGAGAAGGCAGAATAAACAGAGCTGTGAGATCGAACCAGCCTGCACTTGGACTGTTTTCACCAGCCCAGGTGAGAAGATGGAAAAAACCCAAACCCCACTATGCCATTAAAAACTTCCCTACTGATATCACCTGATATAATTAACCCACCTGAGATAATTAATCCACATTGGCCTTTCCTGGCCCCACTTGAGTTCAGCCATCTGTGCTGCCCAGTTTTCCAGGCTTGCAAGGACATGGAACCAGGATGATCGCTTGTCCTTGCTCTCTTGATCCAGCCTGACCACACGCAGCAAAGAGCCCCAACGCGAGAACCAACTCTCACACTTATCACACTTATCGCCCACTCGGCTTGCCTTCTGGAAGAGCCTAACTGCCACGACGGTTACAACCTTCCTAAATGGGAGTCCGGGACCTCTCTTCTGAGGTGTAAGCAACTTGATCTCTACATCATAGAAATGTTCATCAAGCAGCAATCCCGTTTTAGCCTCCAGTTTAAATATGAGCTCCTTCCTTCCGGCTGGAAGGTGGCAGGGAGCAAGAGAAACAGGAACCAGAGTTTGCCGTGCAACTTAGCGCCTGTTTCCACCAACACGGGCCCTGTCTGCATTTCCCTCCTCTGGTTACACCGAGATGTTGGGCCGACATGAGCCAGCCGTGTTCTGCATTGATGCCTGCATTTTTAATGTGGTCTGACAATCGTATCCTCAATTGAGTATCTTAGTCTGCTCCGAAAGGCACTCTAAAAACAATCGAACAAACAAACAAGGGACTCTCCCATGACTACTATTCAGTAGCAGAAGGAACCTGGGGGTGGCTAGTTAAAGATAACCAGGGGAGCAGGGGTGCACCAGAGAGGGCACAAATCACTGTGCACCCGTCATTCTGCCAGATGCACAGGACTTCAGGGGTGGATGCTGCCAGCCAGAGAGAAAGGCAGAATTCTTTACTTGTGGAAAAACTCCCTCTGTCTGGCTCCAACACTCAAATCCACCAGATGCCTTCACTCCCAGGTGCACCTGCTGTCCAGATATAAGCCAGCTCTCTCCTTTTTTGGGGTACTGCAACAACCTTGGGAACATGAGAACTCCCAGGCTACCACTGAGCTGTCTGAGTGTCACAGCCTCCAAACCTGGACATCCACACCAAATGTTTAAATGACACAATGTCCTGGTGACACAGGCCTAGATTTGCCCCAACTGTTGGCTCAACTTAACAGGCTTCCAAGGGAGTGAAAGCTTCAAGATCTGGCCCCACCCACTTCTCCAGCCTCTTCTCTTATACTTTCTCATTGTATCCTTTGCTCTAGTCAGACCAAACCACAGGCAGTTCCTGGCACTTGATTTCATTACCTTTGCCCACATGTTCCCTCTGCGGAGGCAGGCTTCCTCCTGGCCAGGCCTAAGCCTCAGCTCAGCTCCCCTCTTCCATAAGGCTCTCCCTGACCTCTCCAGGAAGTGGCACTCATTGACCCTACATTCTGTACTCCTCTTATTCTCTTTCTTACCCTGAGTTTAAAACATTCATTTCATCTAACTCTCTCACTGGGTTGTGATCTCCCTGAAGGCTTGGGTCGTATTTTCAAGCTCTTCCTGCAATCCCCAGCATGTAGCATGTTAATCCGGCACATGGTAAGTATTTATTTTTTTGAAGAATTATTTTAACTTTATTTATTATTATTTTACAATTTGACCAGGGGGGAGGGGGAGCATGAGAAAGGAAGCCACCAGGTCCAAGACTTGAACCATAGTTGGCCAAGTGGGAGTCCAGCATCTTTAAACACCATGCCACCTGCCAGCCCAAACAGTAAACATTTATTAAATATTTATTCCATGAGCAAATTGCCTCTTTTTTCTTTAAACACACACACACACACAAACCTTATTAAGGTATAACTGACATATAATAAACTGCACATATTTAAAGTGTACTATTAGAGTTTTCATATCTATATCTACCTGTAAAACTTTCACCACAACCAAGATTATGGACAATCCATCACACCAAACTTTCCTCATGCCACTCTGAATCCAGACTTCAATCTCCCCCTTACCCCTTTCCCAACCGTGGGTCTACAGGCAACCACTGTTTTCTGTCACCATAATTTGTTTTTTCTAGATTTTTTAAAGTTATTGCCAGAGGGTATGTGTGCTTGCCAGAAAGAGAAAGAGAGACATCCCCTCTTCCCCCCTCAAAAGGGGGCATGGTCATGCTATAATCTTTTTTCCTCCATTCTTCCTTCCTGTCAGGAGTTTGGGCATGTATGTATGCATGGGTATCTGAAGTGTTTTCTAAGTCTCTGGAGTTGGTTTGGTTTAGTTTTGTTTCCCATAGGGGAACATAGGCCATGTGCTAGCCAGAATGAGAGTGTGAAAATGGTCACGCCACAATCCCTTCTCCCCTTTGGATTTTGGGAACGTGTGCATACATATACATGCATGGAACATTTGTCAGGCCACTGAGTCTGGGACTCAGACCATGGAGTCGGCCATGTGGAATCCAGAGCTTTAACCACCATACCACCTGCTGGCCCCTGGGGTAGATAGAGATTTGAACTGTGGTTAGCCATGTGGGATCTGGCTTCTAGTGTTCAGTGCTTAACCACTACATTATAGGGCTGACCCTCTAGATCTTTTAATAAATGAAATTATACAGTATGTAGTGTTTTTTGTCTGGCTTCTTTCAGTATAATTCTTTTAAGATTCATCCATGTTATAGACAAGGGCACTGCAGTGGGCAGCCATGCCTTTCTTTGGTGTGCAGAAAATGTGGGCCTTAATGTAGATCACCGGCTGACAGCCCAAAGTGGTGAACAGCCCCATAAGCTCCCATCTCAATGCCATGCTTTTGAAAAAGAATGGAATCAATAGTACCTGGGCAGGGAAAGAATGCAAGATAGAGAATTTTGACCACTGAAGACCCACTACCCAGACTTCACCCTCCTACTCCCCAGACTAGCCAGGAGCCAGCCAGGAGAAGCCAATCTGCCGCCATCTAAATCTGAGCTACAAAAAGGTTCCATTCAGGGATTTTAACCACCCAAGATCCTCTGCTCAGACTTCACCCTTCTGCTCCTGAGTCTAGCCAGGAGCCAGCCAGGATAAGCCAATCAGCTGTCATCTATATTTAAGCTATAAGAGGTTCCATTCAGAAATTTTGACCACCGTAGACTCTGCCTAGACTTCACTCGCTTGCTCCCAAGTCTAGCCAGGAGCCAGCCAGATTTAACTCCAAAAAATAGGGAAGTGAGTATAATCCATCAGATGACCAGAAACCACTGCAGAGGCACAAGAAATATGAGAAACAAATAAAATATCTCTCCTCTAATGGAAAAGAGTAACTCCTCTTCCTCTATAAAAAATACAAAGGAACGTATGGAAATGTCAGATAAAAAATTTAAAATCTTTATAGTGACAAAGCTAACAGAGATGCAAGAGAATAGAGACAATGAACTCCAGAAGATGCAGGAGAAGAGACACTGAGTTCCAGGAGGTGAGGAAGTTCTTGGACAATCTGAAAGAGGAGATACACACCATAAAAAAGAATCAAATAGAGATTAAGGCTGTAGTGCAGGAAACAAAACTTCCGTTGAAAATATCGAAAGTAGATTAGATCATGCAGAAGATCAAATCTCAGATGTAGAAGATAGAACCTCCTGACCTAGAAAAATTCACCAAAAAGACTGAGAAAATAACCCCCCAAAATGAAAATAACATGCAAGTAATATTAGATACCATTAAATGCCCAAACATCTGGATCATTAGTATCCCCGAAGGTAAAGAAACTAATAAGGGCATTGATATTCTATTCCATGAAATCCTAGAAGAAAACTTTCCAAACCTAGAGAGGCACTCAAATATCCAGACCCAAGAAATACATAGGACCTCACATAGAATCAACCCAAGATTTTCCCTGAGACATACATAGCCACATTGACCAAAACCAGAGAGACAAGATACTAAAATTGGCAAGAGAGAAACATCAAGTTACTTTCAAAGGATAAGGCTAACATCAGACCTCTCATCGGAAACAATGCAAGCAAGGAAAGAATAGGAAAATATATTCAAAGTGTTAAGTGAAAAATAATTTCAACCAAGAATACTGTACTCAGCAAAATTATCTTTTATATGAAAAAAGACAAAAACATTCTCAGATAAACAGAACCTGAAAGAATTTACTGACACCATACCAGCTCTCCAAAAAGTGCTGAAGGGAATGCTATACCAGGAAAACTAAAGTCAGACACAGAAATAAGAGTACAAGAAACAACCAAGAGAATGGCCAGCCTAATGGTAGGGACAAGTCTGGAGGTGAATGTTAACTTCCAGAGTTTAAATGGGAAGATCAGACCACAATAACACTGCAAATTCAATAGAAGAGAGATTAATTACATGAGTGTAAAGTAATGAAGTATAATTTTTTTTACTTTAAACTAAAACACTGATTTTCTTTGATGTTTTCATTTCCATATTTAAGGATTTTTATCTTCTCTTGAATTGCTGATAGGCTCATCTACCTATGATTTGGACTGAATCCTAACCTTTCTTCTGACTTTAAGTTTTAAGCAAATTTCTCTTAACTTTTTTTAAATTTTGCTCTATTAAAACTAAAACTATTTTTCTTGAAATTAAAAAACATATTAAAAATATCTATTAATACCTATTTAATGACTGTAGTAAGCTATATAGCCCCAGCGAGGTGCTACTTTATAGTATGTTCACTTTACTCACTGAAGTTTACGCCTAAAGCCAGACATGCATTCTTAAATATGTATATCAGCTGTGCTTGATATTGAAAGTCTTTAAATTAATTAAGATCTTTAATGAATCAATTAAA